TACAAAGCTCAAGCCAATGGAAATTTCTCAGGGTTCCAACAACTGGAAATAGGTCATTTCAAGGATCATAATTAACGTTGTCATTTACTTTAGCATTCCATCCCTCTATCCATCCTACTCAAAAAGGATCCATGCCAATTAATGCTTTGCCATAAACTTGCTAGAGTGTCTGAATAAGCGATCAGTTTTCAAGAATTATTCCAGGATTCAAGAATGGATCATATGAGTAAAGGGAAACAAACTAATGGTGGAGAAATATCAGGAGAAATAGTACCAATTTTCAACTTTCAATTGAAACTATTAGTTTGTTATGCAAGTGCTGACAATTTTTTTTCATTATTTCCGGTATTTCTACCCCGTCTGTTCTCTACCCCCGAAGGGAAATTCAGGACGGCTTACATTTGGCAATGATTCGATGCTGGTACATATAAACCATTACAATAATTCCACAATAATTAAAATACATAAAACAGTAATTAAAAACAATACATAAAGCATTAGTTAAAAACAATAAACAGTATCATGGCAATTACAGTGTAACTCAGGCATGGGCCAACTTTGGCCCTCTAGGTGTTTTGGACTTCAACTCCAATTCCTAACAGCCTCAGGGGGAAAATATGACAGGCATCTTCCGAGGTTGTGAGGTCTATTGGGTTTTTATATCTGTGGAATAATGTCCGAGGTAGGAGAGAGAACTCTTGACTGTTTGAGGCAAGTGAGAATGTTTCAATTGGCCACCTTGATTAGCACTGAATGGCTTTGCAGCTTCAAACCCTGCCTATTTCCTGTCTGGAGGAATCCTTTGTTATGAGGTGTTAGCTGGCCCTGATTATTTCCTGTATGGAACTCCCCTGTTTTTGAGTGTTGCTCTTTATTTACTGTCCTGATTTTAGAGTTTTTTAAATACTGGTAGCCAGATTTTGTTCATTTTCATGGTTTCCTCCTTTCTGTTGAAATTGTCCACATGCTTTGTGGATTTCAATGGCTTCTCTATGTAGTCTGACATGGTGGTTGTGAGAGTGGTCCAGCATTTCTGTGTTCTTAAATCATATGCTGTGTCAAAATTGGTTCATCAAGTGCTCTGCTGTGGATGACTTCTCTGGTTTATTTCTAAAAAATTTAAACTATTACATCTGGCCCAGCAATAGATTTTTTTTAAAAAAAATGTGTGTTATTGTCTATATGTGTCATTGTCCACTGTGTTAGCCGCCCTGAGTGGGTGAGAAGGGCGGGGTAGAAATGGTCTAAATAAATAAATAAATAAATGTGAGTTATATTAATTGTATAGTTTTATTTGCTTATTGCTTTGTTGTTTTTACTGATGTGTTGTTGGGCTTGGCCTCATGTAAGCCGCCCCGAGTCCCCTTGGGGAGATGGTGGCGGGGTATAAATAAAGTTTTATTATTATTATTATTGACACAAAAGCACAGTATGTCACAGCAAACGAGATCTATATGCTGGATTTCGTGTCACAAATCACAAGTCAAACACTTCCCAAGCGTATAGAACTTTTTTTTGTGTGTGTGTCAGGAGTGACTTGAGAAACTGCAAGTCGCTTCTGGTGTGAGAGAATTGGCCGTCTGCAAGGACGTTGCCCAGGGGACGCCCGAATGATTTGATGTATTTATCATCCTTGTGGGAGGCTTCTCTCATGTCCCCGCATGAGGAGCTGGAGCTGGTAGAGGGAGCTCATCCACCTCTCCCCGGATTCGAACCTATGACCTGTCGGTCTTCAGTCCTGCCGGCACAGGGGTTTAACCCACTGCGCCACCGGGGGCTCTAGGAGGGTTGGTGTGATGTATTTTCGAATGATCCAAGTAAGGTGGCCTTTTGCAGTTGACAGATCGTGATTTTGTCAATGTTTATAGTTTCCAAATGCCAGCTGAGATCTTTTGGCATGGCATGCCAATGACCACTGGGATATCAAAATACGTCTGCAGTGCTTTTCATGTTTCTTGATTCATATTTGGGCATTGCTGCTGCGTTTGGGGGTCCCTATGTAGACTTGTCCACAGCTGCATAGTATACGGCAGTGGTTCTCAACCTTCCTAATGCTGTGACCCCTTAGTGCAGTTCCTCATGTTGTGCTGACCCCCAACCACATTATATTTGTGTTGTGACTTCATAACTGTAATTTTGCTAATGTTATGAATTATAATGTAAATATCTGATATGTAAGATGTATTTTCATTCAATTTGGCACAAATACCCCATACGCCCAAATTTGAATACTGGTGGGGTTGGGGGGTGGATTTTGTCATTTGGGAGTTGTAGTTGCTGGGATTTATGGTTCATTTAAATTCAAAGAGCATTCTGAACTCCACCAAAGAGGCAATTGAACCAAATTTGGCACACAGAACTCCCATGACCAACAGAAAATACTGGAAGGGTTTGGTGGGCATTAACCTTGAGTTTGGGATTGTAGTTCACCTACATCCAGAGAGCACTGTGGACTCAAACAATGATGGATCTGGACCAAACTTGGCACGAATACTCAATATGCCAAATGTCAATACTGGTGGAGTTTGTGGAAAATAGACCTTGACATTTGGGAGTTGTAGTTGCTGGGATTTATAGTTCACCTACAATTAAAACACCGTCTGAACCCCACCAATGATAGAATTGGGCCAAACTTCCCACACGGAACCCCCATGAGCAACAAAAAATGCTGAGTGTTCTGATGGTCTTTGGTGACCCATCCGACACCCCTTTGCGACCCCTCCAGGGGTCCCGACCCCCAGGTTGAGAAACACTGGTATACGGCAAGGTAAAGGTTTCCCCTTGACATTAAGTCCACTTGGGTCTGACTCTGGGGGGTGATGCTCATCTCTATTTCTAAGCTGAAGAGCCAGAGTTGTCCATAGACACCTCCAAGGTGCATGACTGTCATGGAATACCATTAGCTTCCCGCTGAAGCGGTACCTATTGATCTACTCACATTTTCGAACTGCTAGGTTGGCAGAAACTAGGGCTAATAACGGGAGCTCAACCCGCTCCCTGGATTCAAGCTGCTGACCTTTCAGTAAGCAAGTTCAGCAGCTCAGCTTTTCAAGCCGCTGCACCACCAGGGCTATATGGTAGATGGTTATTATTATACGGTAATAATAATAATAATACAACCTCAAGGATAGAGGGGTCATATTTCACAACTCCTACAGCTGAAGGAAATGGCCTCTGTATCCACAGATGCAACTGCTGTGGTTTGGAAAGGATAAACATCCAAAAGGTAAAGATTGGTGTTGCCATTTGGCATAAAGGGTTGCAGTTTCCAATAGGGCTTGAGCATGCATGGATTTGGGGATCCAGATGGGTTCCTGGAACTAAACCTCATGGACTTCACAGCATTGATAGTGAGCATGGGCAAACTTTGGCTCTCCAGGTGTTTTGAATTTCAACTCCCACAATTCCTGGCCTCAGGCCCTTTCCTTTTCCCCCTCAGCCGCTTAAGCGGCTGAGGGGGGAAAGGAAGGGGCCTGAGGCCAGGAATTGTGGGAGTTGAAGTTCAAAACACCTGGAGAGCCAAAGTTTGCCCATCCCTGATCGATAGGATGTTTGTATCTTGAAACCACCAAGTTAAAGTTGGATAAAGGAGTATCCCAACTAAAAAAGAACCTCCTTCCCTGCAAGCATCACTTTAACTGTTTCGATTGATTTTCACTGTGAATTTTTTAGTGCTGGTTGAATGTAATTCTTGCATATTTTATTCTAAATTGTATACTAATTGCTATTATGTCAAGCCGCTTTGAGTCCCCTTTGGGAGAGAAAGCAGGGTATAAATAAATACGACAATAATAATCATCATCATCACACAGCTCTTTCTGTTTTGTGTGGTTGCCCTGAAATGTTGGGTGACGGAAGGGAAGACGGAGGAAAGGAAGAAAAAGGGAGGCTGAAGGGGAAGGGAAGAAGGAAAAAAGGGAAAGGGGGAAAGGAAATGGGGGGAATGGAAGGAAGAGGAAGGAGAAAGGGAAAGAAAAGGGAAGAAGAGGAAGGAAGGATGGAAGGATAAGGCAGAAGGGATAAGGAAAGGAAGATGGCAGGAAGGGAAAAGGAAAACAGAAGGAAAGAAGAGAGAGGATGGGAAAAGGGAAAGAAATGGGAAGAGGAAGGAAGGAAGGAAAAGGAAAAAGGAAAGGAGAAGGAGGGGGAGAGAAAAGAGAAATAAAAAAGAGAGAGGAGGGAAAAAGGGAAGAAATGAAGAGGAAGGAAGGGAAAAGGAAAGAAGAAGGAAGGGAAGGGAAAAAGGAAAAGGAAGAAAGAGAGAAGGAAGGAGGAAAGAAAGGGAAGGGAAGGAAGGAAGAAAGGAAAGAAGGAGAGAAAGGAAAGGAAGGGATGGAAAGGGAGAAGGAAGAAATGAAAAGGGAGGAAAGAGGAAGAGAGGAAGGGGAGAGAAAGGAAGGAAAGAAGAAAAAGGATGGAAGGGGGAAAGGAAAGGCAGAAGTGAGGAGAGAGAAAAAAGGAAGAAAGAAGTAAAGGAAAAGGGAGTAAAGGAAAGAAAGAAGAGGGAAAGGTAGGAAGGAAGAGAAATAGTAAATGAAAAGGGAGGAAAGGGAGGAAGGAAGAGGAGAGGGAAAGGATGGGAAAAAGAAAAAGGAAGGAAGAGAAAAGGGGAAAGAGAAGGCGGAAGGAAAAAGAAGGGAAGAAGAGTAAGAAAGGAAGAGGGAATGGACGGGCGGAAGAGGAAAGAAGGGAAAAGGAAAGTGAGGAAAGAAAGGAAGAGGAGGGGGAAAAGAAAGGAGAAAGTCAGGTAGGGGGGAAAGGAAGGAAGGAAGAGAAGGAAGGGAAGATGAGGAAGAAAGGAAGAGGAAAAGGACGGAAGAGGAAGGAAGGAAGGGGAAAAAGAAAGAGAGGAAAGAAAGGGAAAGGAGGGAGAAAGGCAGGGAGGAAAGAAAGGAAGGGAAGAGGAAAGAAGGAAAGGAGAGAGAAGGTCTCTGGACTGAGGGGAGGGCGAGAGAGAGAGAGAGCCCTCGTAGGGTCCCTCCGTGCAGCCGTGCTCTTACCTTGACGAAGAGCTCAATGAGGGGCTCCCTGCCGCCCTCCTCCTTCACCCCGTTGACGGGCACCGAGAGAGCCATGCTCCGCCGCCGCCTCTGGGGAGCAAACCACTACCTTCTTTCGCTCTAAGCTCCGCCGAGCAAAGCCGGACCGAGACTGAGGGCGGCGCCGCACTCGCAGGGGTATTTATACCAAAGGGCGGGGCTTAGGTTAGGCGCGGGAGGGGGGGAAGGAAGAGTGGCCAATAAAGAGACAAGAAAGACTTCGCCTCGCGCGTGTCTGCCCAGAGGGGGCGGGTCATTGGACTTATTAGGGGGCGGGGCTACAGGAGCTTTGGAGGCGTTTCTGGCAGGGGAGGAGCCCTTCTGGGTTGTGAGTTTTCCGGGCTGTCTGGCCATGTTCCAGAAGCATTCTCTCCTAACGTTTCGCCTGCATCTATGGCAGGCATCCTCAGAGGTTGTGAGGCAGGGGTCCTCAAACTAAGGCCCGTGGGCCAGATACGGCCCTCCAAGGTTATTTACCCGGCCCTCACTCAGGATCAACCTAAGTCTGAAATGACTTGAAAGCACACAACAACAATCCTATCTCATCAGCCAAAAGCAGGACCACACTTCCCATTGAAATATTAATAAGTTTATATTTGTTAAAATTTTTCATAATTTTAATTATTGTATTGTTTTAAAGTGTTTTTTGCACTACAAATAAGATATGCCACGGTAGTCCACGCTCTGGTTACATCCCGCCTTGATTACTGCAACGCTCTCTACGTGGGGTTGCCTTTGAAGACAGTCCGGAAGCTCCAGTTAGTCCAACGGGCGGCAGCCATGTTTTTAACAGGAGCTGATCGCAGGGAGCATACAACTCCCTTGCTGAACCAGCTCCACTGGCTGCCGATATGCTACCGGGCTCAATTCAAGGTGCTGGCGTTGGCCTTTAAAGCCCTAAACGGTTCTGGCCCAACTTATCTATCCGAACGTATCTCAGCCTATCAGCCCACCAGGACCCTAAGATCTTCTGGGGAGTCCCTTCTCTCTATCCCTCCAGCTTCAGAAGTGCGGCTGGCGGGAACGAGAGACAGGGCCTTTTCTGTGGTGGCCCCTCGGCTTTGGAACGCCCTCCCTATAGAGGTACGATCAGCCTCGTCGCTGATGGTGTTTAGGAAGAGACTCAAAACATGGTTATTCAAACAAGCATTCGGCTAATCTGTGGCAATTAAATCGAATCTTGGTGACTATGGACAGGAAATATGGACAACGAACTCTGGATTGTGATTTTAACTTGAGATATATGGGATTATTATTGGTGGCCCAATAATTTGTTATTGTATTTGTATATGTTTTTTAAACTGAGATTGTTTTTAAAATGCTGTAAACCGCAATTGAGTCGCCGTTCTAGGCTGAGAAATTAGCGGTATACAAGTGTACCAAATAAATAAATAAATGTGCAGTGTGCATGTTTTTTCAAATTATAATCCGGCCCTTCAACAGTTTGAGGGACTGTGACCAGGCCCTCTGTTTAAAAAGTTTGAGGACCCCTGTTGTGAGGTCTGTTGGAAGCTAAGAAATTTGGGTTTATATAGCTGTGGAAATTCCAGGGTGGGAGAAAGAACTGGGCACCACAATTGAAGAGAGATATTGAAAAGCTGGAATGCGTCCAGAGGAGGGCGACTAAAATGATCAAGGGTCTGAAGAACAAGTCCTATGAGGAGTGGCTTAAGGAGCTGGGCATGTTTAGCCTGAAAAAGAGAAGGCTGAGAGGAGACATGATAGCCATGTGAGAGGAAGTCACAGGGAGGAGGGAGCAAGCTTGTTTTCTGCTTCCCTGGAGACTAGGACGCAATAGAACAATGGCTTCAAACTTGTTCCTCTTGTCCTTTGCTGAACGTAGCATTTGTTGGATTTTCTTAGTGGGTCTGTAGATAGTTTGTAGGTTGTGTTTCTTCATCAGCTTCCCTGTGTGGTCAGTGATTCCCTTGATGTATGGCAATGCACTTGGACTGCAAGAAGATCCAACCAGTCCATCCTCCAGGAAAGAAAGCCCGACTGCTCACTGGAGGGAAGGATATTAGAGACAAAGATGAAGTCCTTTGGTCACATAATGAGAAGACAGGAAAGCTTGGAGAAGAGAATGATGCTGGAGAAAATTGAAGGAAAAAGGAAGAGAGGCCAACCAAGGGCAAGGTGGCTCTTGCCTCCAGTGTCATCAGTTGGGAGCCCGCCCCCCACCAGCACCAACCACTGCTCTGAGATCAGAGTGAAGAGAGGGGCCATGCACTATGCTTATAATATAATATAATATAATATATATTGTATATACATATAATATTGATAATATTATAATGTAATACAATACACTAATAATAATATGATATTTTAATTATATATTTTATATTAAATGTAAAATTACTAATAATATTACAGTATAATGTTAATATTAATATATAATATTAATATTGTGCTATGATAACAATGGAGCTCCCGGTGGCGCAGTGGGTTAAAGCACTGAGCTGCTGAGCTTGTTGATCGAAAGGTCACAGGTTCGATTCCAGGGAGCGGCGTGAGCTTCCGCTGTCAGCCCTAGCTTCTCCAACCTAGCAGTTCGAAAACATGCAAATGTGAGTAGATCAATAGCGGGAAGGTAACGGCGCTCCATGCAGTCATGCCAGCCATATGACCTTGGAGGTGTCTACGGACAATGCTGGCTCTTCGGCTTAGAAATGGAGATGAGCACCACACCCCAGAGTCAGACACGACTGGACTTAATGTCAGGGGACTACCTACCTACCTTATGATAACAATATAATATATTGTATTTACTTTTTACTTGTAAGCCACTCTGAGTCCCCTTCGGGGTGAGAAGGGCGGCATATAAATATTGTAAATAAATAAATAAATAAATATCCTTGAAGGGACTGGCTTGACCTTGAAGGACCTGGGGGTGGCACCTAGTAGGAAGTGACTGAACAAATAAACAACAACCAAAATAATACACCAGGAGCCCTCGGTGAGTTAAACCCTTATGCAGGTTGACGGTTCGAACCCGGGGAGCAGAGTGAGCTCCTGTCTGTCAGCTCCAGCTTCCCTTGCAGGAACATGAGAGGAGCCTTCCATAGGAAGGTAAAACATCCGGGCGCCCCTTAGGCAACATCTTTGCAGATAGCCAATTTTCTCACACCAGAAGCGACTTGCAGTTTCTTACACCAGAAGTAACTTGCAGTTATTTGCAGTTTTGAGGACCCCTCCATTACAGCATTTTTTTATTTTATTTATTTACGACATTTATATGCCACCCTTCTCACCCCAAAGGGGACTCAGAGCAGCTTACAATATATATATATATATATATACATACAATTTATTAAGTTATTAGCATAGTACAGTATCAGTATTATTTATTACTATATCGTACTCCACCATTATAGTGTAATATTATTAATAATATTACATGTAATATAAAATATATAATTATAATATTGTATTAGTAGTAGTAGTATTACATTATAATATTATAAATATTATATGTGTATACATTATATTATATTATTAGTAAAGCACAGGAGACAAGATGGGACTTTGTGATTTTTAAAACCTTGGCGGAAAGCCCTTCGCTATGTGATTTAAAAGATTTTGTTCCCTACTGGTCTTTGCAGTCTGTTCTTATTGAATCCAGGGAAACTGGTAAGTGACAACTTAACAAGCCTCACATCACAGCATATGAACCAACTAGTGCTCTTAAGATTGGCCTAATGTCCCTCCGAAGGTAGAGTGAATTCAGATGTGTACCTTTCTTTGACACCTAGGACCCTTCTACACTCCCATATTGCCCAGACTATCAAAGCAGATAATCCATGTTATCAGATTTAAACTGGATTATATGAGTCTACACTACCACATAATCCAATTCTAGCAGTCACCACCCAATCCCTCTCCAATCCCAGAAATACATCTTAATGGTGTAACATTAGAAAATGTTGACCATTTCCACTACCTTGGCAGCCACCTCTCCACAACAGTCAACATTGACACTGAAATACAACATCGCCTGAGCTCTGCAAGTGCAGCTTTTTTTCCGAATGAAGCAGAGAGTGTTCTGTCAGGGGTGCTTTGAATGTAATATTCCTGCTTCTTGGCAGGGGGTTGGACTGGATGGCCCATGAGGTCTCTTCCAACTCTATCATTCTATGAGGACCAGGACATCCATAGGGATACCAAGGTGCTTGTTTATAAAGCTATTGTCCTCCCAACCCTGCTATATGCCTGTGAAATGTGGACTGTCTACAGAGGTCACATGCAACTCCTGGAATGATTCCATCAGCGCTGCCTCCAGAAAATCCTGCAAATCTCTTGGGAAGACAAGCGGACAAACGTCAGCGTGCTGGAAGAAGCAAAGACCACCAGCATTGAAGTGATGCTCCTCCGCCATCAACTCCGCTGGACTGGCTACGTCCGGATGCCTGACCACCATTTCCCAAAGCAGTTGCTCTACTCCAAACTCAAGAACGGAAAAAGGAATGTTGGTGGACAGGAAAAGAGATTTAAAGATGGGCTCAAAGCCAACCTTAAAAACTCTGGCATAGACACTGAGACGTGGGAAGCCCTGGCCCTTGAGTGCTCCAGCTGGAGGTCAGCTGTGACCAGCAGTGCTGTAGAATTTGAAGAAGCACGAATGGAGGGCAAAAGAGAAAAACGTGCCAAGAGGAAGGCGCGTCATGCCAACCCTGACCGAGACCACCTCCCACCTGGAAACCAATGCCCTCACTGCAGGAGAAGATGCAGATCAAAAATAGGGCTCCACAGTCACCTACGGACCCACCAGTACACTGATCTTGGAAGACTATCCTACTCGGACAACAAGAAATCGCCTAAAAAAAAAATCCAATTCAAAATAGGGAATCTGGATGTTATATAGCAGTGTAGAAGGGGCCTTAGCTACTTTAACAATCATGTTTAATGTTGCTTTCCTGTTCTCTTCAACCAGCTCTGGGAAGCTGAGGAAGAACTTCCTGACTGTGAGAGCTATTCAGCAGTGGAACTCTCTGCCCTGGAGTGTGGTGGAAACTCCTTCTTTGGAATCTTTTAAACAGAGGCTGGATGGCCATCTGTCAGGGGTGATTTGAATGCAATATTCCTGCTTCTTGGCAGGGGGTTGGACTGGATG